AGACTCGCAGAGTTGCCTACACTGCCTACAGCTGCCCAGACATGCAGTGGCACTGTAGAGTCAGAGTACATGGACTTGTGGGCAGAGGAGAGAGCCTGAGGTTTTACACCACTGAGCTGTGGGCGCTGTGCTACTGAGATGGCTAATGACACACCTGGTCTTCGATGGTGTGGAAGGGGTTGGGTAATGAGGAGGAAGGGCTAACAGGGACAACAAGCATGTTGATGGGAACAAGAAAAACAGAAAATGGGAACTCCAAGCACACAGTGGGACCGTCTTGGGAAGGGGAGGCAGTCTGTGGTGGCCCCTGAGCCCTGGTCGCTGGCAGAGTGTCACAGTGCAGAACACTGAACTGAGTCACCCAGGAAAGTGACCCAGATGCAGGGTCCTTTCTTGAGGAAAGCAAGCGCATGAAATGTATTTGAGAAAGATTTCCATTTAAAATAGGCAATGTGAAAAGCTTACAGCATCAAGTGCTATTTATCAGGAAGTTCACCTGTGAGTGCAGGGACAATACTTTTCTGCAGTAGAAATTTGGGACATTTCCGATGACTGGTGTTGCTCCCTGGGGAAAAGGCGGCCCCAGGATGGGGTCCAGTTGCCACGAGGCTGGCCTTGCAGGGACACAGGGACTCACAGAGACAACAGACAGAATATTTGAAACTGGGGTGACCTGAGGCCATCTGTGCAGAAGAGTTATCTCTCCCTGAGGCCCCAGAGGGGCAGTCGGCTGTGGGGTGGTGTGGGAGGTATGCAGACCACAGCCTCAGGGCCAGCCACTGCCATCGAGGGAGCTCCTGTGAGAGACTGAGGGGAGAGGGTGGGAGGAACTGCACAGCCCTTGGCCACCCTCCATCGGCTACTCTGAGCACCCATGCCCTGTCTTGCTGCCTCGTGCATCTGGAGGACACCTTCCACACACCGCCGAGCGCCACGCGGGAAAGCCAGTCACGGGTTATGTTCCTCATGCTGTGGTGTTTGCTCAGTGTACCATGCTCCTGCCGCACACTGTGAGTTGAGTGCTGCTAAGACCCCCACCCTCTGCAGGGGAAACAGAGGCAACAAGATGGGGAGCACCTGGTTTCATCAGTCAGAAATGAAAAAATGGCCGAGCAGGATTCAGACTCCAACAGTCAGCTCCAGGCCCAGACACCAGACCGCCTGTTCTGCCCTTTGCTTTGCAAAGTCCCCTTTCCTCTGCTGGCCTGGCTGCACCTCTGTTCAGCCCCCACCCTCCACTGTCCCCAGCCCTTATGTCTCCCCATCCATTTCCGTGGAACTAAGCAAAAGACGGTGAGAGGATCAACTGCTGCTTATCCTTGGAGCAGACCCAGGGCAGCAGACAGGTTGGGGAACCCTAGAGGGTGCAGCTCACCCCTGGCAACTCTTCTGGACCCACTCCACAGAGCGGGTAGTCTTATCTCCTGCTGACAGGCACCTCCTCTCCCTCCTTCTCCCCGTCTGGGACTCTCTTGTGTCATATTGAAAAGCTGCCAGTTGCTGCTTCTGGGAGTAAAATCTAGCCTCTGCCAGGCAGAGACTCATGGTAGCTTCTAGCTGGGCAGAGGTGCATGGCACTGGAATAGTCCCCAGGTGCAGGCAATCTCTGGGTACAGGCAGCTTCCTAGCAGCTAGAGGTACCAGGTGCCCCCTTGACCTGAGTAAACAAACACTGGGGTGCACCTTCCCTGCCCTCCATGGGCCTTCACACTTCCCTGGCCTTGGACCCTGCCTGGCCTCCGCTTCCCTCTGCTTCCACACCTCGAAGATAAGACAAGCCAGCTGTCCCTTCTGATGAGAGCCCTTAGGTCTGTCTGAGTAGCAGGTGCTGGCCTCACCAGACCCTCAAAGACCACTTGAAAGGGTGATTCCAAATGCAGATCCCTTGGATCCACCCATTTAGGGTTTACACCGAATCAAACCCCCAGGGCTGAGGCTTGTTTGGGGATTTCTATTTTTATCCCTCTCTCACCCAGATTTCGGCGCTCAGAACCGCTGGACCTGAGAAACTGGGTCCGAGGAAACGTGCCTATGTCCATGCCTGCTGGACCACAAGTCCAGGAAGGTCATTCCAAGGCCCAATACCAGCATTGCACGCTGGCCTCTCACGATGTTGGGACAGCCATTGCTGATCCTGCTTCATAGAGAGAGAAGTCCGTGGTTCCTCTAGGCTTTGAAACCAACAGGGTCTAGGCCAGCCGCTTCACTCACAGACACTCTCAGGGGCAAAGCCACTCATGGGGAGACCCAGGGCATGTTCAGAGCCTGGTGTTTCAGCCAGAAGCCCGTGGAAGTGGACGTGTGAGGCAGCGCTGCACCTGCAGAGTGACCAGTCTCTAAGTGTACAAAGTAACCATTTTTCAAGGGTGAGGAGTGGCTGGTCTCTATGTGTGCAGAGTGACTGGTCTCTAAGTGTGAGGAGTGACTGGTCTTGTGTGTGTAGTGAATGGTCTCTATGTGTGTAGGGTGACCGGTCTTGAGTGTGTGGAGTGACCAATCTCTACATGGAATGTGTGGAGTGACCGGCCTCTAAGTGTATGGAGAGACCAGCCTCTAAGTATGTGGAGTGACTGGCCTCTAAGTGTGTGAAGTGACTGACCTCTAAGTATGTGGAGTGACCAGTGTGAGGAGTGTGAGGAGTGTCTGACCTCTAAGTGTGTGGAGTGACCTGTCCCTAAGTGTGTGGAGTAACTGGTCTCTAAGTGTGCTGAGTGACTGGTCTCTATGTGTGAGGAGTGAACAACCTCTAAGTGTGTGGGGTGACCAGTCTCTATGTGTATGGAGTGACCAGTCTCAAGTATGCTGAGGGACTGGTCTTTCCGTGTGTGGAGTGACTGGTCTCTATGTGTGTGGATTGACTGGTCTCTATGTGTGTGAAATGACTGGCCTATAAGTGTGCAGAGTGACCATCCTTTAAGTGCACAGAGTGACTAGCCTCTAAGTGTGAAGAATGACTGGCCTCTAAGTGTGCAGAGTAACCAACCTCTGAGTATAAGGAGTGACTGATCTCTAAGTGTGTGGAGTGACCAGTCTTTATGTGTGAGGAGTAATTGGTCTCTAATTGTGTGGAGTAACTGGTCTCTAAGTGCGTGGAGTGATGGGCCTCTAAGTGTGCAAAGTGACTGGTCTCTAAGTGTGTGGAATGACCAGTCTCTACATGTGAGGAGTGACTGGTTTCTAGTTGCGTGGAGTGACTGGTCCCTACGTGCATGGAGTAATGGGTCTCTAAGTGCGTGAAGTGACCAGACTCTAAGTGTGAGAAGTGATCACTCTCTATGTGTTAGAGTAACTGGTCTCTAAGCGCAATGAATGACCAATCTCTAAATGTGAGACGTGATTGGTCTCAAGTGTGCAGAGTGACTGGTTTCTACGTGAAGTGATGGGTCTCTAAGTGCACACTGAGCTCTGGCCTCCCAATCACTTCAGGCATCTGCATTAGGAAAAGCAGGGGCTTCGGTGGCTTGGGGGAATGACTTCCACCCATGTAGGGGACACCTGGTTGTCACCCTGTACGGTGGAGAGGGGCTTGGCTTCTGACCCCTGTAGGAACACCTTCCAGGGTAACTGCCTCTGCCCAACTCTGATACCCTTCTGCAGACTAACCCCCGAGGAGAGATGGGATATGTCCTCACAGTTGCGTGAAACATAGGAACACACAACCTGACCAAGGACAAAATGTCTTCCAGCCTCCTCAGACCCTCACTGGTGCTCAGATGTCTGTGGCCACTGGTCACCCCTTGGCTCCAACTCCTTCCTCTCTCCTGCCTTTAAGATCAAGGACCTGAACCTCGTGCTGATGTCAGATGGTTCCTAGGGATGCTGGTCCAAACCTCCCCTGGGTGCTAGCTCCCTCCCGACCCCAACTCCCATCTCTTGACCTATTGGCTGCTATACGGTGAGCAGTATGAGCTTGGACTTGGTGACACAGCTGTGTGGTGATGACTGGTTTCCAGAGGGACAGGTCATGGATGCACACTGATTATGGTTGGATACCCAATAACGCACGGGGCATGACAAACAAGACAGGAAGTTGTCTGACTTAGTATGTCATGGCACTAGGATCGAGAAACTCAGGAATAGACTGGAGTTGCCACCAAGAGGGGATCCCACACCAGGGGTGTACTTGCCCTCGAGTGGATGGTCACTCAGGCCTCTGTTGTTATTTATCCAGAAAGAAGATGAGGGTGGCCCGGGACCAGCAGCAAAGGGCCTTCAGGCTGGCCACACAGCCAGCCCCACACCAGCTATGCTGTAAGGACTCAGTTTATCTGATGTCCCATAAACACCAGACCCTACCCAAGTCCTGCTTCCTTCAGAAACAGGTCATCACTTCACTGGCAGCCTGTGGGTGAGTCAGTGCTCAGTTCTGGGCAGCCTGGCTCAGTCTCTCCACACAGACTCCCCGGGCCGTCTCTCCTCTTGGCTGAAGAGTTAAGGACAGACCGTTTAGTCCATAAAATGGAGTTTCCTTCAAGTTAACAGAGTGGGGCCGGACGCTGTGCAGACTGTGGCACAGACGCTGCAGCAGATGCTGGGCTGGGGCAGTCGTTTCCTTTAGGGTGGATTTGACACAGTTCAGTGGCTGACGACAGGTGCAGGCAGACACTCTGGTAGCCCCATCCCCCTACCTGTCTGGCCAGCACCTCAGAGGATGCCCTATTTCTTCCCTATGGAGTGAGTGTCTCATAGCAGGAAGGGAGCAGGTCCATCCAAATGAATCTAGGGCTGAAGTACCAGGTGCCAGCAGCTTCGAGGGGCCAGCTTCTCCGAGTGGCAAGTTCCCGGGGCCACCCCTGCAGAGCTCTCATGATGGGACATGTCTCGACATTACTCACAAGAGGTCTGTGACCTCAGTGACAATGGACCCGGGACTCACCACCTGTCCAGGGAGTAAGCAGAGTGTGCTTGTGGGGTTGAACACACCCATTAGTGTGAGCTGGGAGCACGATGCCTCGTAAATGAGAAGAAAGTCGCTAGGACATTACTGAGGGAAAACTTACCTTTCAGCCACTTTGGACATTTTCAAACGATGTCTGTCAATCTGCACATTCAAAAATGCTATCTGAGAAGGAGAGAGCAGGGCGTTACACCCAGAACAGAACCCTCTCTCCCCTCACTCCACAGCCCCCAAGCCTGTCTTTCCTCCAGTGCCACATGCCTCCAGCAAGGCCACCCTGCCCCCGGCATCACATCCTGGCAATGCCCTGGACATCCGCCCACATGTAGGCAGAGTGCTCCACATGTCAGCTGTGCCACCTGCCCCTGTGCTGTGGAGGTGCAAGTCTGGCTTTCCCAAACTTAAAGGCAGGGTGTATCTCACAAGGCTTAGTGGCAGCAGGGGCAAGTAATGCATGTACCACAGATGCCTGTTGTGACCAGGTCCTGTGGTCCCTCCTCCACCTACCTCTCACACGTTCACACAGCCATGTGCTTGGCATACACCCCCAGAACCATCTCGTGGCTATGTCACATACACCGGTATCCTCTCCCAACCCGACAGGAAACTTGTCAAGGGCCTGCACCCAGAAGAGGGCTCATCTGGGTCTCCCAGAAGCCAACCAGGCAACTGAACACCAGAAGGGCATCACATGGTCAGTTCTGACAGCTGACCAGGCACCTCATCATGAGGAAACGACATGCAGAGAACACTGCTGATAAGCGTCGAGCAGGGCCTCTTCAACCCTCCCTCCCAAACACACATGCCATGGAAGCCTGAGCTGCATGACCCTGGAGTGCCCTCCAGGCTGAAGGACCCAGATGCCACCCTTCCCACCCCAGCTTCCAGCAGGCTGGGAACCAACCACAGCATCGTCCGTGGCACAGGTGGCTCATGGGGTGGCCCCATCATGTCCTGCTTCCCAGTGCACTCCCATAGCACTCAGAAGTTTGAGTTCCCATGCAGGTTCCATGTGGCCTCCAGGAGCTTGACGCCTGCTCAGGCTTCAGAGGGTAGCACTAAGGGGTTTTAACTGACCCGCCTCCTTCCAGGTGCAAACAGTGGCTTACTTGCCTGCTTCCGGATGTCCTCCTTGGTGGTCTTCCTGATGGGTTGGCTGAGGACATGCACAGGGCTCTGCACTGGGGTCTCCTCCGTCACACCGTACACTGACTGGGAGAAGTGAGAATGGGGGTCAGCCACCCTCGGGAGTGGGGGGTGGCAGGCAGCCACTGGGGTCAGTCAGGGCAACTGCTCAGACGATTCTCTGAAGTCCCTTGTGACTGGAGGTCATGGCCTCACCTTAGTCTTCCAGGGGGAGGACTATGCCTCTCGTGCATCTCATCTCCTCCTGACTTACTGCTGGTGGGAAGCCCCATGTTTCACTGAGCTGAAAGTAGTCTCCCGGCACACCTGCATTCTGCATATGCAGTCCATAGGCTACCCTACAAGAGCCATCCAGGGACTTGGAGAAGACACACTCTGCTGGGCCCCCAGGCTGCAGCCTCAGAGTCTCTGTGCCTACACTTTATCAAATACCCTGACCACCAGCGCTGATGGTCATGCCAGAAGATCCCTCCACATCCCTGCTGGGGTGCAGATGGTATGCCAATGGGTCACAAAGTTGGGGTGGTGGGGTTTCAGGTTTCCCTCTCATGCCAAATAGCCTCTGGCTTCCATGATTCCACATGTCCACAGCTAGGATGGTCCTGTAGGCTGCTCCTGAGGTGTGGACAGGTGACACACAGCCCTGAAGGGAATGCCATGTGTATTAAGAGTTTTTAGTCAAGCAGGTCCCAGCGTGGCAGGTAAATCCACAAAGTCTTGCCATGTTAGAGTTAGGGCCATCTGACAAAGGCCTAACATCTAGGATCTCAAACAAGGAACTCAAATGTGCCAAAAGGACCCAAACAAACAGCCCCATTAAAAAGCAGGCAAAAGACGTGAATAGACACTTCTCAAAAGAAGATACATGGGCAGCCAACAGACACATGAAAAAATGCTCAGCTTCACTCATCATCGGAGAAATGCAAATCAAAATAACACTGAGATACCACCTAACCCCAGTAAGAATGGCCATCATTAATAAAACAAATAACAGCAGATGCTGGTGAAGATGCGGAGAAAAAGGAATGCTTCTACACTGCTGGTGGGAATGCAAACTAGTGTAACCTCTTTGGAAGACAGTGTGGCGATTTCTGAAAGAACTAGAAATTGACCTTCCATATGACCCAGCAATTCCCCCATTGGGACTATACCCAGAGGAACTCAAATCATTCTACAAAAAAGATAATTGCACATGCATGTTTGTGGCCGCTCTATTCACAATAGCAAAACCATGGAACCAACCATGCCGCCCATCGAAGCTGGACTGGATAAAAAATGTGGTACATATACACAATGGAATATTATGCAGCCATAAAAAGGACAAACATATGGACTTTGCAGTAATTTGGATGGATTTAGAGTTGATCATACTCAGTGACCTGTCACAGAAACAAAGAACAGAGTACCGCATGTTCTCACTCATAAGCAAAACTTGAACAATTGTAATACTATAAGAAAGTGATTGGCGGTAGTGAGAAGCTGTCAGGGGAGGGTAGGTGGGATTGGCAGTTCAGGGAAACTGCTGGGTGAAGGAGGGGCACACCTCATCAGCAAGGGTACCTGCACAATCAACATTTGTATACCTAACCCTGAATTGTACCCCACATCTTTATAATAAAATAAATAAATAAACAAATAATAGAGTTAGGGCCAAAGGTTGCATGAAGACGTGTTCATGATGATGCAGTGGGTATTGTCACCTTAGCAAGGAACAAAGTCTATAAGTGGATTCAAGAAACGCACAAAGGTATGTGCCATATCTCTGTCCTGCATGTGTGTCTCATACATATGTGGAAGAAAATTGGTCATCACGAGGAGGGGGGCACTTGGGTGCATTTTGAACCCTCTGAATTTAAGATCGTGGAGCATGCAAGCTTCCCGCAATAATGTCCTTAGTGGTGAGGTGGGACATGTGGACATGGGGTGCATGAGCGTGGCACCCATGGGTGTGCTGTGGTCATCAACCCTTTCAGTAAAAGGAAATGCAAGAGACCAGTGGGTCACTCACAGCTGGGCAAGGTGGTGGTGCAGCTGCATGATACAGTTCAACAGAAGACCTTCAATTGCATCTCCAACCCGAGCAGGGCTATCCCTCGGTGGTCCCTCCACCCCCTCCCCAAAGTCACCTGCTACCCCCTACCAGGAAGCCCTGAGGAGCCCTGGCTACCCCGGCTGGGCACAGCCATCTGGTACGTCCCTAGAACAGCCTTGTGGCCCTGTGGCCACTGATTTGCATCACTTCTATGGGCACCATGAGGCCCAGCCACAGCATCCAGCAGCAAGTGTGGTACCCGGCACACCAGCCACTTGGTGGGTATTTGTAGGATGAATGAATGAAGTGACTCCAAAGGACAATGTGGCAGAATCACATCAGCAGAGAACGTGAGGTCCTAGCACTACAAGGGCACTTGCAACAGAGGTCCAATGCAGTAGAACCAGCAAACCTTTTTAACCTTCTGTGGATTCTTCAGACGTCGGCACTTCCTGATGTCCATTTCTGTGGTGTTCACACAGCCTGGCTGAGAAAAGAAACCATCATATGAATTACTAGCTGCAAGTAACTCTCCCCGTTCAGCCCAGGTGCCACCGTCAGAACCCGTCTTCATGGCTTTCTCAACTTGCCAGGTCATGTGCCCCTCCCTGGAGCTCTCATGTGAAACCCAGAGGTTCCCTCCTAACATCCTGGGTTCATACAGTGGGCACAGAGTACTGTGTCTGGGAACAAGTTGGGATTTGAGTGGCAGGGTCCCTCAGCCACAGCCTGCTACCCTACGTTCCCAACACCTGAAAGGCTCCAGCAGGACAGGCAGCTGGCTTTTAGTTTCTGCTTTTAATTCATTTTCCAAAAGACTAAAACAGTGGACTCACTTTTTAGTCCACTTCATGAGGGAATGGCAAGATTTGTTTTAATAACATGAAGTTAGACACAGCTGAATGTCATTATTGACGGATGCCATATTTGTGAATTCACTTACTTGCTAACATTTGTCTGTGAGTCCGTCCTCACTTGTGCCTTCATGACATTTGTGACATGCACATAGCAGCAAAAAGTCAACGTGTGTGTCCCCAGCTGAGGGTGACACGGTGCCCTTTGCCCTCTGGCTTTGGGTCTCATGCTGTCAACCGGTCTATTTAGGGTTTACTTAGTGCAAATGTCTTTGCATGTTTGTGCTTTTCGTTGGCTATTTTACTGCTTAAAAAGGCTTAGTGCTGAGGTGTGGTCCAGTGTCTCCAAGTGCAAGGGGTCTGGATGAGCCTTGGGAGAAAAGACTCATTAGAGACAATCCATTCAGGCTTGAGTCACAGTGCTGCTGGCTGTGAGTTCCGAGTCAATGAATCAGCTACATATAAGTTAAGTGTCTTGGTTGGGCACAGTGGCTCACACCTGTAATCTCAGCCCTTTGGGAGGCCGAGGTGGACAGATTGTTTGAGCCCAGGAGTTTGAGACCAGCCTGGGCAACATAGCGACACCTCGTCTCTACAAAAAAATTTTGAAAATTAGCTGGGTGTGGTGGTGCCAATAGTCCCAGCTGCTCAGGAGGCTGAAGCAGGAGGATCACTGGAACCCAGGAGGTCAAGGCTACAGTGAGCCATGATTGTGCCACTACACTCCAGCCTGAGTGACAGAGCGAGACCCTTACTCAGAACAAAACAAAACAAAACACAAATAAAATTAAAAAGTGTCTTTACACAGACACATGTATCAAACAAGGGAATGCATTGACCTGTTGACAACAGTGTTGTGACTTGGGGGTTGTAGACATTTGGTTTTGAATTCCCCCAGGAGTGGGGCTTCATTATTTGCTAACTCAGTGGACACAAAAACTTTACAGAGCACACTGCTGGGAATAACAAGAATTAACTGCATTTGAGAGAGAATATTTTTCTCCCTCCCAGTTCCCCCATTTCTCTTGAAAGAGAATATTTTAAGATTTAGAGTTTAATGACAATGAACATAAAGTTGCTAATTTGGGAATGTAAAACTTTTGGGGCCCAATGGTCTCCTGGTGGAATTCCCATAGTCCCCCATTTCCAATTCCATGTTTTCACATATAGACAATTTTTAAGAGTGGAACTGACACACATTCCAGAAGATCCACTGAGATTATGAGAATGAAAGCCAGTTCCCCAAAGCCCAGTGGGTTTTTGAAGAATGAGACACCTGGTGGCTAAAGACCATCTTGTCTTTCAAGAGAAGAAAATAGAAGCATTAAGAAGAAAACAAAACCAAACCCTAGAGAACTGAGTAGAGAGTCCTCACCACCGGCCTGTGGACATCCCAGAAGGCCCGTTCTTGACTATCCAGAATTTTTCTTTCTGTCTTGTCCTTTTTCCAATCGATCCTGAAAGAGTCAAGACCGGAAATGAGCGGCTTCTGTGTCCTGCTTTCTTTTTGCCCTCCCTGAGTCTCTGCTCCTGTTTCTAGGAGCTACACGCACATGATGCCCTGAGCTGATGACAATGTGTGCTGGCTTTCTGCAGAGCTTGAAATTGGGTGCACTAACCCCACAGGAAGGCTTGAAATTCCATGCACACGAGATAACTTATTCCAGCTATGCTGCAGCTTGCCATGTATGTGCGATGACCAGTGTGGCCTAAGAGAGGAACAGGAGCACAGCTGTTCATCTGCAGTGCTGAGGTCTGGATTGTTAAGAACAGGATTGTCCACTGGTATGCCCCCTCATCAAAGTGGATGCTGCATAGATGATTATAAGAAGTAATACAACCACCTTCTTGCCAGTGTTGCATCTTCAAATTTGAAAGTCTACTTTAGGTTTAGAACCAGTGGAAATGCCTTTAAGATGCTGCATATATGTTTTAGAAATCCCATCCACCATATGGATTTTTAAAAAATTTTAATATATTTTTTTTAAAATTGTGGGGTACAGTTGAGGATGTGGTGAAAAGGGAACACTCCTACACCATCCAAAGGCAGACTGATGGCTCTAGCTTGCAGCCAGACCCAGGGGCAAGTGGCCTGGCCTCAGTGAGGAGGTACAAACTGCAGGAGAGAAACCAAAGGTGTCACAACAGATTCTTATTACTCTGATGGGCAGCACAGGAAAGGGTCTTTGTTTGCTTGCTGTTAAAGTATGTATTACTTCATGCTGTCTCCCCAGGTAGAGGGCACTGGGGGAACTGCTGTGAAACTTGTGGGCCTTGGCTCTCTGGGGAGCTTTTAAGTTCACTGGACAGAAATAAATCCATTGTCACTCGTGCTTTCTGTGGTCATTACTGTGTATTTGAACGGCCCATGATTCAGATGCAATTGCAGGGTTAATCTAGAAGATTTATGGAGAACTACCATGTAGACACGTGGAGTAGCAGTGTCCTGTCCTACGTGTGGGTCTGCTGCTTCCAGAAGTACACTGAGGGCTCCTCTCCTCCGTACCTCCTATGGATACTGAGCCACAGGCCCTATGCCTCTTCCACCTGCGGGAGCCCAGCCTTTCTGCCATCCATGGGCCTCTTCCTGAGGCTTATACCCACTGCTGGGGCAACCCCCTGGGGGCAGCTGTGGGGTCTGCCAGCGTCCTGTGAGGGGAAAGGAAGGGGCTTCCAGAAAGTGTCACAGCAGAGGCGGCAGGCAGACCATCAGACCAGCCACTCAGGGGTATTTCCAACCATGATCATGGGACACACATGGCCAGATACCCGGCTATAGGATAGGGGCTGTGGGATTCCCTGGTATGTGGGGGACTTGGGGCTGTAGGACCCTCTGATTAGGGGGGCCTGGGACTGTGGGACCCCCTGGCATGTGGGGCTGGTCTGAGAACCTTGGACTGTGGGACCCCCTGGTGTGCAGGGCTAGTCTGCCTCCCTTTCCACCTTCCTCTCCCACTTCTCCTGTTATTGCTCCTGGATAGGACATGGATCTGGACTGAACCGTTTTGTCTCCCAGAATTCCACAGGTCTAGTTGATGACAACATGTGTTGGCCGGGACATTTTTCTCCATGCCTTGTGTTCCTTTGAGGGGAAGGGAACGCCACCGTCTAACTTGAAGGAAAAGATATGGGAAAATCTTCCCAAATCCTTTCTTCCACTTTTCTTTGGTCTTGCGGAGAGGAAGGATGGCCTAACTCATCTATCTTATCGGTGGATTTGAAAGAATAAACGGAGAAAACTCAGGGCCCTCTCTGGGCCCTCCGGCACTCAGGACACCCGTTCTTGCTTGCAGAAAGTTGAGAGGTTGGCTCTGCCTGGTGGGGGCTGGGGGCTACCGTCGCCCCTTCTGGCCAGGAGGGGTGCATACAATTTCAACCTGTGGCCACAGATCCAAGGCTGTACCTAATAATCTGGCATTTTGTGCTCCAGACTCCTCTCCTGTTGGGGAGGGGCCAGGGGCTACCTAGTGTCCTCCTTAAAACTCCAACATGTTTCCCCAGGAAGGCAGAATCTGCACTCCTAGAAGTGACATGGGAGTGGTGTTTTCAGCCTTTGAACACAGAGGAATACTGGGAAATCTGTTGGGGAATCACCAGTCCTTCTTGTACCCGGGATTCTACATTGAGATGCTCTCCCTTGCCATGAAGCACACCTTGCTGAAATGACTTGGAGGGACACTGGCTACAAGATCAGTGGCTCTCATGAGGGGTGAGATGAGTGCCAGCTGGAGCCCTTGCTCTGACACCCCTCCTGGCGTCATCTCCTGTTCCAGATCTCCCCGCCTCTGTGAGGTCTCTGGTAAGCACCTACTTGACTTGGGCTTCTGCTTGCATGAAGATGAACTCCCACTTCCTTGCAAAGGCCCTCTGGAGTCTTGCTAGGTTTTCCTGAAGAGAAACCAGAGCCGACACAAAGGCGTTAGTTATCATAAACAAGCACGTTGACACCTGTGCCAATTATAGGGCTGTCATCCGTCTTGGTCACCCCCAAAAAACAACAGGACCCACCTGAATCTGCTGGCCATGCACCCAGCTCAGCTCTGCAGACCCCACTGACTGCATGATTAATCTCCATGAACCCGCCCCTTAGGCCTGAAGTCGATATGGGCCTCTTGGTCCTTCTCCTCCTGGCTGTGCAAGAACACAGCTCACACATGCTTGTCACACAGGCTGCTGGAAGTGGGCAGGAGGGCTCATGGCCACTGGGGATGGACCATGGGGTCTTTGCAATCTGCTGAGTGTCTCTGAGAACAAAGCTAAGGGTAGATATCTTGGGACTCGCCTTCCATCAGGAGGCTGGGACAGTCCTGGGTGAGGAGGACCAAGGGAACCCAGCCTTGGGGCTTCCTAGAATCAACACTTGAAGGTAGCCCCTGGAGGGCGTTCGTGTGTGATGCTCATGAAAAGAAAAGCCAAAAACAGAAAGAAAGGTTATGGAGGACTGTCTTCAGGGAGACGAAGACATGTCTTCTCCAGGTCTGGAGTCCTCAGTGGACCCTGAAGATGGGGGGAGGAGCGTAACAGGTCTCCTAATGAGCCCCCTCATTCTGATGAATGGAGATGGTGGCCTGTCTCATGCCACAGCTCTTCACAGTGCTCATGCCAACATGAATTGATGACCTCATTAGTGGGTTATCAATATGGAAAGAGCTTCCGCTGGAGAGCTCACACACGGATTCATAGGTGTCACCAGGGCTTGGGGCCTCCAGTACTTGTCCCTCGACTCTTCTCCTGCTCATGGGAAGCAGGGCTGGTCATACCTGAAGGTCACTCGACTGGGAATAGTCACATCAACTCTGACACTGTCACACCCTAGAATTCCAGGCTTTATAAACAATAATACCGATTATCATTACTGACATGGGCAGGGTGTCAGTTACTGACATGCTCAGGTGTACGCCTGAGCAGTGAAGCAGTGGACACAACGCTGTTCATGGCATGATTCTATTTTTCTATAAAGAAAAATATGTGTGTATAGAAAAAACCTGGGGAGTAGGGAGAATCACAGGCTATTTTCTCTTCTTTCTTTGCTGCTTAAAGTTTTGTTTTTCAAAGAGAATATGCAGCCGGGCTCGGTGGCTCAGCCTGTAATCCCGCGCCTTTGGGAGGCTGAGGTGAGTGGATTGCCTGGGCCCGCGGGTTCGAGACCCGCCTGGGCAGTGAGACCTCATCTCTACAATAAATCAAAAAATCAGCTGGGCGTGGTAGCGCATGCCTGTAATTCCAGCTAATCGGAAGGCTGAGGCGGAAGAATCGCCGGAGTCCAGCAGGTCGAGGCTGCAGTGGCCGGTAGCGGCCACTGCACTCCAGTCTGGGTGACCAAGTAAGACTCCAACTCAAAAAAAAGAGAATATGCAGTCAGAAAGTTTTAACATGATGACTGCATTTTGGAAGCAAATTGCTTAGTTTCTAAGCATTCTTATGCAGACCTTCGAGCTCACAGCACATCTAATGCTGTCTTCTTTACAAATACCTGGCAGAATCTTACAGGGCAAGAGGAAAGAACACAGAGTGACCGTCACCGGGAGCTGGCACCATCTTGTGTCCTGTAGTACTTTCCCTAAGACAGGAAGACATGGGGAGAAGCATGGTGGGCCCTGCTCCCAAGCCAGGCCCCGTCAGGGAAGTGATGGTGTGTCAAAGCTCGCACCCTGGGAACAGAGTGTTCTGGAAGAGGGGTAGTGTGGCTGCTGGGCACCGGGAGACAGCTCAGAGCCATGGAGCCACCAGGCAAGGGCTGCTCGGGGAGATCAGATGTCCCAGTGCATAGTCCATACCAGACTTCCGCCAGGTCCGAGGCCCTGGACCAACTCTCACAGAGTCTCTGCCTCTACTATTACCCCAGCCTCAGGTCCCAGATATTCATGGGATCAAAGGAGATGACTGCAAGGGTTTCAAGTCCCACACATGCACACTCACCCTGGGCGGTGGAGTGGGGAGAGAAGGCCCTGCGGTCTGGCAGCCCTGGTGCATGGACCCAAGAGGGCATGGCCTGAACGAGGCAGCTTTGAACATGTGTGGGAGACTGAGGCAGTGAAGGCAGATCTTGGGGGGTCTGAAGATGCTGGGGATGCCGGGCTACTCGGGGAGGGGTTTTCCCTGTCCCTAACGTTCTCTCACTGCTGCTGGGAAGTAAGGCCCTTTAGTTGCCCAAGGCTCAGCTTCCCTTGGTGGGGAGAGAGGGAGAAGGGTGTGGAAGGGACATGAATGTTCAGCCAACTTCCCCAATTCTCTGTGACCCACATAAAGCTCAGCGCTGGGGGAAAGATTCTGCAGCCAAAAGTTAAAAACATATTTTAAGTCATCTGTGGTTTTTAATCCTGGGTCTTGGTCTCTGGGTTCTGTTAACTGGGAAGGGATACACTTGCTGGGAGTGGAGGTCGGTTTTTGCAAAGACCACATCTCCTGAAGGAAGACCCAGGGTGGGGGATAGGGGAGGCAGTGGAGCAGATGTTGAGAGAGACATATGTCTCAGCTCATTTTCTGGATTGAATTCTGTCCTTCGGGTCTGCCTCTGCTACCAAGCACAGGAGAATGGGTATAAAGATGTAATTTTAAAGTTTAACTTAAAAATTATTATACAGTACACCTCATCAACAAGGGTATCTACATAATGAACATTTGTATACCTAACTTGTACCCAAAATCTTTAAAATAAAAAATTATTATACAGTAAACTTGACTTTTTCCTTGTGTGTAGTTCTGTGAATTTTAACACATATACAGATTCATACAATGATGGTCACTGGGAGCTGGCACCATCCTGTGTCCTGTAGTACCTTCCCTAAGACAGGAGATGTGGGGAGGAGAAACACGGTAGGTCCTGCTCCTGAGCCTGGGACTGTGACCACCACAGACAGGATACAGAATAGACCCATCACCTTTCCAGGGTCTTGTTATGGTCACACCCTATCCCACCATGACCCCAGGTGATTGCTAATCTGTTTTTCATCACGATAGTTTTGTTGCTTAAAGAAGGTCCTACAAGTGGAATGGCTGGTTTGAGACTGACTTCTTATACTAGCATGATGTCTTTGAACTCATCTAAGTGGTTGTGTGCACTTCATTTTTACTGCAGAATAGTATTTCACTGTATGGATGCACCGTGGTTAGTTTAAACATCCACCTGCTAAAGTGCATTTGGGTTATTTCCAGTTTTTGGGTCTCACAGATAAAGCTGGAATGAGCATCATGGGCTCTTGTGTGGATGTAAGGTCTGATTTCTTTGGGGCATGTACAAGGGGGAACCCAAGAAAACAAAATTTATTTATAAATAATTGTGTATTTATTCTTGCATGTTTAAACTTCAATCACCTTCAAAGTACTCTTGGTTTGATGCTATACACCTACTGAGGTGCTTTTTCCACTGCGCAAAACCGTTTTCAAACTCATCAATTTTGATGCCTTTTAGTGATTCTGTTATTTTTTTTCACCTCGTCCACATCAGCAAAACATTTCCCTTTGAGGACTTTTTTGATCCAAGGAAAACAAAGTTGTTCAAAGTGAGATTGGATGAATAGGGAGGAAGGGGTACCGGGGTCGTGCCATTTTTGGTCAAAAACTGCTGAACACTCAACATGGAGTGGGCAGGTGTGCTCGTAAATCATCCATCAGGAAATGGAATTATCTCCAAAAAAAAATTCACAGAAGCTGAACGAATGCAGCCTCTCACAACAATGCTAACTGGTACACTGATACCTATGGGTTCCTAGAACACTTAACTAATAGGGGAAGCCTCTAATACAAGGGGCCCACTCTCCAAAAAATGATTCTGTTTTTTTGGGTCCCCCCTCATAAGTGGGAGTAGAACTGCTTAGTTACATGGTAAGTGTGTATCTGCAATACACTGACAAACCACTTTCCAGGATGGCTGCACCATTCTGCCTTCCAGCCAGCAATGGAAAAGCATTCCAGCTGTTCCACATCCTCACCAGCATTATTATCAAGTATTTTCAGGACTTTTAGATCTTATCCATTGTGGAAGGTATGTAGGATGTACTGCCATGGGTTTAATTTGCATTTTCCAAATGGCTAAATATGCTGAACATCTTCTCAGGTGCTTGTTTGTCATTTTTTTGTCCCCTAGTGAAATATCTTCTCATGTCCTTTGCCTGTTTTTAAGTAGAGTTGCTTATTTATTTTTTATTGTTGAGTTTTGAGAGTTATTTGCATAAGGATACAATTTTGCTGTGATAGTGAGAGGAGTTGAGGACAAAGGAAGGTAACTGGCAGAGGCTTCTCCTCCTCTGCCTAAAAGGGACTCAAAGGGGACAAAGGAAAAATACAAACTTTGGCAGAGGTGCACAGAAGACTTTACTTTCTTCTCATACCTACTCTGGAAAACAACCACACTCACCGCTTCGTAGTCTGCCAGTTCAAGCCTTGCTTTATTCTGCATTGTCCTTTTACAGAGATAGATGGCTGAGGGAGGAAGAGAAATTACAACATGTACAAAGTCAGCCATGCATCCACCCACCCACCCATCATTCATCCTTCATCTATGATCCATTCACTATCCATTCATCTATCTATTCACCATCCACCCATCCATCCATCTACTGTCCATCCATCCATCCACCCATCCATCCCTCCACCATCCATCCAGCCAGCCACTCGCCATTCATCCATCCATCCATTCATCCATCCTCCCATCCATCCTCCCATCCATAAACCATCCATCCAGTCATCCAACCAACCAACCACTCATCTGTCCATTCATCTACTATCCCTCCACCATCCATCCATCAACCAACCCCCCACCCATCCATCCACCATCCTTCTATCATCCATCCACTGAACCATCCACCCACTCATCCACCCCTCCATCCATCTACCCACCCATCCATTCAACCATCCATCCATCCACCCAAACACCTGCCTACCCATCCACTCATCCATCCATCCACTCATCCATCCAGCCATTCAACCATCCTCCCACCCATCTGTCCATCCATCTACTATCTATCACCATTCATCCATCATCCAGTGCCCCCCATCCATCTACTATCCTTCCATCATCTATCTACTGAACCATCCACCTTCCCATCCACCCCTCCTCCATCCATCCGCCCACCATCCATCTATACAACATCCATCCCTCTACCCATCCATCTACTATCCATCCATCCACTCACTCATCCACAATTCATCCATCCTCCATCCATCCATCCATCCATCCTTCCATCCATCCATCCATCCACTGTCTACCCTTCCACTCATCCATCCATCATCTATCCATCCATCCATCCATTCATCCATCCATCATTCACCCATCCACCTACTAACCCACCTATCCATCATCCATTCATCCATCTCCCACCATCCATTCACTCACCCATTCACCCACCCATCCACCATTCATTCATCCATTTACCTACCCACCTATACACCCATTCACCCACCCATCCATCATCCATCAACCCACTCATCCACTATTCAGTCACCCATCCATCCACTCATTCATTCACCCACTCATCAGTCTGCCCATCCATCCACCTAGGCATACATCCATCAACCCACCTAGCCCTTCCTGTATGCTCAGTGCTCCTGTGGGTAGAACATGCTTTCTAAGTGGAAGTCATGACACCTGCTCTCTAGGAATCTTTTTGTAGGGCATGACCCAATGAAGACACCATATCCCCATCCTGATAATATCCCTTCTTCTTGCTCACTCTGCTTTACCCTAAATACCTTCCACTCATAGTGATATTTCACAAATATGACCATATTATTCTTATGCCTAAAACTCTGTATTGAATTCTCATTGGCCTCAATAGTAAGGCTGGATTCATGAGGGTGACAAAGACAGTTCTTTATGATCAGCCTCTGCTTATCTCATCAACCTCTTCTCCTCCCCCGTACAGGCATTGTGAGGCCACTCAACAACTCTCAGCTCTGCTCCTCTGCACATGAGTCCTCTGCGTGAAAGGGCTTTTCCTCTTCTCTCTTTCCTTTCATTTATCTGGCAGCCTCTGACTCATCTCTGAAGACCCAGCTTGGTGTTCCAATAGCATCCATACCTCCTCAGTCATGGAACCTAATTCCATGGCCTGGAAATCCTGTGTTGATCAGACCGTTCTCTGCTCTAGGCTGAAATCTCTTTAGGGGCAAGAGGCTACATCCGACTTAGCCTTCACCCCTGTCTCTAGCACCAGGGCTGGTTTGCCAGGTGTCATGTCAAAGCAGTGGGATGGGAGGACAATTTAGGTCTCTCAGCACAGGCTAGGCGAGGGTGGTTGGCTTTCAGTCTCCAGGGCCTTCTTCCTCAAACATGGCCTTCCTCATGTCTGCTTCCTTCTTCAGGGCCAAGTGGAAGGACCCAGGGAGAACAGGAATAATAGCTACTCAGGAGGAAGTGGCACAGAGGCACTGTGATAACCCTGTTGTGGGCCCACAAGATCTTCTAACTCTGCCAGAGCTCTCCAGTCAGCTCCTTGCTGGGCCGACCAAAGCCCCCCATTTGCTTTGAGACCTTTGGCAACAGGACTTCTGATATGTCTCAAAACCCTGTGTCCAACAGTTTCCAGTAGGCATGCCACACTCTGCTCTTTCCAGTGTCTCGTGACAGCCAGTGATCCCCAGATGTGCCTATCTCAGGCACACCTGTCATTTCAGGCATGTGAGTTCACCCAATGTGACACATGCCAGTGAAGTCAGTGTGAAGAGATAGTTGCTTCTATGAAGACCAAGTCTAATGGTTTGGGACAATTTGAACAAAGAGGCAGTGCAGATAACTGCTGGTGACTTAGGCTCAGGTGAGACAACTAGGAACAACAGGGAAGAATAGAAATTGGGGGTGAGGAGGGTTTCAGAAGGGTCTTTACACTCTTGATGCACCTTAAAGACACAGAGACTGGGTAGGATTTTTGAGTGTGGTTTAACAGAAAACCTCAAATCATTGGGGCTCACAAGCAAAGAGAAGTCTCTGGTGCTCCCATAAGAGGCCCAGAAGGCATGTTTTGGGGTATGGCCTACATTCATATGCAGTGCTTGCAGGGTGCATGAACCATTTTAAAATGATTTTCTACTTCCCAGTGAGCCAAGTGCCATGACCTCTGCTGTGTCTGATAAAGGAATGTCTGTCCTATTACTAAGCACCTCTTTCCATCTTTGGGATCCCAGGCAGCCTGCAGAACCCGGGCGATCTCATGAGGATACTTGTGAACCACCAACTCCATTGGGCCTGGCCATGGTGACCATGGGAGGTGGTCAGTGGAGGTGGCAACTGCCTTGACAGGGCTGTCCTGATGGCATTTTGCAGTAGCCAAAGGCACTACAGCAAAGGCTCACCCAGAACTGAAGCAGGTTCTGTGCAGGCCAAGTCATCCCAAGAAACTCCACCTCTCTGCGTCCCTCTGGCCAGCAGGTATGAAGTAAAGCAGCATGCAAGATGCAGAGTTGGCGCCACTCCTGGTGACGGCATGTTGCCTGGCCACACGCCTCTGACGCACTTCCCTCATGCCACACGCCAGGAGTCTATCCCACTTCCCTCACACCACACGCCAGGAGTCTGTCCCACAACCAGGAGGCTGATGTGGCCATGCTGGGCTCAGTCTTCCCAGGTCTTGTCTGCCCTGTGCGGTGTCCGCCCAGGGTATGCGCCACCCTCTAACCTACTCTGTGACTGTGGGGTGTGACAGCCAGTCACACACAAGGGCAGCTGGGGACCTGTCCTATGCTCAGAGGCTGGTTTTTTCTGGGTATTCAGTTTCTTACTGAAAAACCCATGTCTTTGCATACTCGACCCTCAGCTCATTACTTCTCACTTGGATAAAGGCCCTGCCATCTCAAGCCACCGCAACAATGAAAATATTTTAGAGAATATTGAACTGACATATATCATTAAGCAACTAAAATTTTCCCAAATTTTCTTTCTCCACCAGTGACATCACTACTTACTCCAATCCCTCAGATAGGGGACCTGCAAATCACTTATTTCTCTGTGCTCCCCCCACCTGGTGGTTACTTTCTAGAACAACAGAATCTGTGCATTGGACATAACCTTGGCAACCATCAAGTCCAGAACCCTCATCTATAGATGCCAACCAAGCCCAGAAAAGTTGAGTGATCACCCAAGGTGTGGGAGCTGGAGTCAAGGGTGAGCCCTGCCCATGGTTCCCACCATGACAGCCACAACCCACGGCTCCCTCACCCACTCACTCAGATACCACCTTCTGGCATCTGGGCACAGATGTGGGTGCTGAGAGCTCCCAAGATGACAGGTTGTTCATGGGGCCTTCCCGCTATCCAAGCATGACACCTAATGATGGCCTGTGAGAGGCTCTGTTATCAATCTATGTGGCAGAAGAGAAAGTTTCTCAAACCATTCCTCACAGCTGGGACCCGCAAACTGCCGAGTCCATTATCAGTGTCTCTCCTGGACTTTCTCTAGAACTGTCATCCCCACCTATTCAGCCAATCCCACTCAGTCAGGGGACCTGAGTACTCAAGTCAGAGCCTCAGGTCCTCCCCACCTAAATCAGCCTCTACCCCAACTCATCCAGGAGACTTGGGTACTCAAGTGAGAGTTTCAGTTCCTTTCCACCTATTCATCTTCTCCCCACTCCTTATCCAGGAGACCCGAGTACTCAAGCCAGCACCTCAGCTCCTCTTCACCTATTCAGCTTCTCCCCCATTCATCCAGGAGACCTGAGTACTCAAGCCAGAGTGTCAGTTGGCCCCTTCCCCATTGTCAGGCCTCTCAGCCTGGAATTCTTGGTAGCAGGTTGTACTTATTTCAGTTAGTGCCACAGAATTCGACAGGATGGGTGACCAGCAAACGTTCTGTGAATGAATCAAACTTTCTGGTTCTCCCTCAGTCCAAATCATACCTGTTCTGATTTGTGCCTTTTGTTTCACATTGTTTCTGGTGAGAGGACCACCCCAGTAGTAACAAACCAATCTTGACCCCAGTAGTAATAAAACCAACCACCAACCCAGTAGCAATAGTACTAATTGCCACTCCATTGGCTACAATATCAGTCACAATCTTGCTAGTCATAATACCAACCACCACTCCTAGCCACTTCCACCACAGTAATAATACCAACTGCTACCCCACTAGTAATGAACCAACTCTCATCATAGTTGTTATAAAACCAACTTCTACCTTAGTAGTAATAAATGAGTCGCCACTTTAGTAGTAATAACACCAGCCACCACCCCAGTAGCAATAACACCAACCATCACCCCAGTAGTAATAATACCAGTTGTCACCTTAGTAGTAATAATACCAACCACCACCCCAGTAGTAATAATACTAACCTAAGTAGTAATAAAGCCAACCACCATCCCAGTACTAATAATACCAGCCACCACCTCAGTAGTAATAACACCAACTGCCAACCCAGTGGCAATAACACCAACCATCATCCCAGTGGTAATAATACCAACCAACACCTTAGTAGTAATAAATCAACTGCCACCAGGAGTAATAGCACCAATCATCACCCCAGTAGCAATAAAACCAACCACCATCCCAGTAGCAATAATACCAGCCATCACCCTAGTAGTAATAAACCAACCACCACCAGGGAGTAATAACACCAACCACCTCCCCACTAGTAATAATACCAACTGCCACCTCAGTAGAAATAAAACAACTCCCCACTTTAATAGTAATAAACCAACCATCCCTTCATTAGTAATAATACCAACTGCCACTCAGTAGTAATAACACCAATCACCACTTCAGTAGTCATAATCTCAATCTCACCTCAGTAGTAATAAATCCAACCACCACCCCAGAGTAATAATACTTAATGCCATCTCAGTGATAATAGCACCAACTGCCACCCTAGTAGTAATAATACCACCCACCTCCCATTTTGACTCCTTTCTACATGCCACACAGGAACTTTACACACATATTTGATTTAATCCTAGCCAAACAGCACTGGGAGATGAGTACTGGCATTGCTCTGATTTTCTTAGGAAGCACAGGGAGGTTCAGTGACCTGAGATCAGGCAGCAAGAGGCGCCACTGAGCAGGGCTGCTGTGTGACTTCTCTTGGTCAGTGCCTCCTGGTCCATAGGAACCTGCTGGAAATGCTGGTGGTACCCGCATCGGGCACCTTGACTCTCCTCTGATTTGTCATAGGCTCAGGCACAGAGTTCGAGTTGTCCTGCCTTATGAATGCCCAAGACAGACTGTGCTTCCTGCTCCTGACACACAGGTGTGACTCTGACCTGTGGGGGACCCTCAGGATGGGAGTGATACTCTGCGCTCAGTGCTAGGTGGCTGCACTCTATTGTAGAAACCTCATCTCACTCATGACTTGTGAGCGTGTATTCCAGGGGCTCCTCCCATAGACATGTGCACCAGGACTGTGGCACCTCTTGTCAGCCTCCTACTGGGTCCAAGCATGCCCAATGCACCCTCATGCCTGCACCTGCCTCCCTGCCCTAAACACCTGTGAGGATCCAGGAGCCACCACGGAGCTCCCTGAGTACCCCTGCCCTCAGTAGACCTGCCTGGACTCCTGCAGCAGCTGCCCCAGTGGAAGGGATGCCCTGCAGGGGCTGTTGGAGCCGCTCAGACCTGAGTTTGAGTTTTGCTCCTCTGGCGAGTGCCTGCTGATCACTCAGTGGAGACCAGAACCACTGAACATGTGCCTACTGTGCATACCCTGGGGTGTATGAGTATGCACAGGGTGAGGGGGCATGCAGACAGATGTGATGAGGACATGGCTGGGAGGGTTCAGGGTCTTTCTCTGACACATGGTGATCATACAGCTTCTTCAGATAACTGGTAGTTAGAAATGTCAGATGGCGCCACAGAGAGGCTGAGGCAGAGGCTAACAGGCCCCTGTCTGTTAGGGACAGTCCCCAGCTTTACCCTTCTCCACTATCCCAGTCTAGGGTGACTTCTGGGTTCCCTTCCCTGGTCTTTCTCCCTTTCCTCTAACTTCCAACTAGCAAAAACACCTGTGAGACAGGGATAGTGGTTCATGCCTATAATCCCAGCAACCTGGGAGGCCAAGACTGGAGGATCACTTGAGACCCGTCCCCATCTCTACACAAATAAGAATAAATTAGCCGGGCTCAGTGGCTCAGCCTGTAATTCCGCGCCTTTGGGAGGCTGAGGTGAGTGGATTGTCTGAGCCCACGGGTTCGAGACCCGCCTGGGCAGCGAGACCTCATCTCTACAATAAATCAAAAAATAAGCCGGGCATGGTAGCGCATGCCTGTAATTCTGGCTATTTGGAAGGCTGAGATGGAAGGATCGCCGGAGCCCAGCAGGTCGAGGCTGCGGTAGCCAGGAGCGGCCACTGCACTCCAGTCTGGGCGACAGATTGAGACTCCAACTCAAAAACAAACAAAAAAAAAGGGAATAAATTAATTAACCAGGCATGGTGGTGCATGCCTGTAGTTCTAGCTACTTAGAAGGCTGAGGTGGAAGGATTGCCTGAACCCAGGAGGTCAAGGTTGCAGTGAGTTGTGATTGTGGCACTGCATTCCAGCCTGGGTGACCAAGTGAGACCCCAATTCAAAAACAACAACAGTAGCAACAAAACCAACAATGAGACCTTAGTAAATTTTGACAAGTCAGCGAGAACAGAAAGGGCCTCTTGATCCAGCCCTCCCTGAAAGCCCGTCCCTGGAAGGAACAATCAAGAGTCATTGTCCCATGTGTTGCTGGGGATCCTGGAGAAAGAACACATTGATAGCCTCCATGAGACACATGCTGCCTCCCCTTCACTCCTAGAGCTGTGTCTTTCGGCAAGCAATGCTTTCCTTCAGCCTGTGGGACAGGTGGGCCTCATAGGTCAGCAGCATGAGGGAGGACTCAGCAGGGTTGAGGTACCCTCCCTACCACCACACCTGCCCAGCCACAAAGCACTTGTCCCCCACACCTCCAGAAGTGGCACGCAGTGCAGCGGGCCTCTCCTCCTCACCGTAGTCAGTGTTCTCGGGTTCCCAGCAGTTGGAGGGCCAGAAGTAAGGAGCCTGCAAGAGAGCACAGGTGTCAGGGTTCGGGGCACTCACTACCTCCCTCACCAGGGTTTCCCTGATGTGCTCGCCCACGGCCGCCCTGCAGGTGACCATGCTGGTGAAGGGCCTGCCCTTGTGCTTGCTGGGGGTGGGGGGTGGGAGGGCACCAGTGGGGGGCATGGACTCTAGATGACTGTGCTGATGATGGGCCTGCTCTTGTGCTTGCTGGGGATGGAGGGACACCACTGGAGGGGAGGCATGGACCCCAGATGATTCTACAGTGGCACAATCACAGCACTACTCCTGCCTGCAATGCACCTGAGCTGGGGCCTGTTTTAACCTTGTGCTGAGAGTAAAATATTAGGTGAGCAAATAAATGCAAAAATGAATTACGTTTATAGGGAAAATCCTTGTCCCAGCAACAGAAGTCTAACCACAGTTGGGCTGGCACCATTCTTGATTTCCCATCTCCCTGCATCTCTGTCTGAAGGTCTCTGCTCCAGCCTCTTTGGTTCGGACCCCGGCACACCCCCTTCTCCACTGCCCAGTTCCCTCCAGGGCAGGATCTGAGGGGATCTGAATGGGGGATGAATGGGCGGCAACCAGAAACGCCACTGGGAAGGCAGTTCCACGCAGTAGAAGGACCAAGGACTGTGCCGCGTTGTTTAGACCAAGGCTGCCTCCCAGGCTTACTGAGCACCACCTTCATCTTCTGAGCACCTCAGGGAAAGGGGCCAGGCTTACCTGGAAGCGGTAAAAGGTGCCATCATCCTTCAGTGTGAGAACGTGGTCCGAGATGGGGAAGATGTATCCCTGGGCGGCGATGAGACTCCCCAGGTGTATTGCCTCCACTGCGGGGACATGTGGAGGGGAAGCAGGTTACACAGCTGGGACATGAGCCAGGGCCTGGGTGACCAGGTTGATGATGGGCCTGCCCTCACACTTACTGGGGATGGAGTGGGGGGCATAGGCAGAGGGGTGTGGCGTGGGTCCCAAATGACCCTACTGATGGTGGGCCCACCCTCATGCTTGCTGGGGGTAGGGGTGGGAAGATAACAGTGGTGGGGGGGACCTGGGTGACCATGCTGATGATGGGCCTGCCCTTGCACTTGCTAGGGATGGAGTTGAGGGAAGGTGTGGACCCCAGATGACTCGGCTGCTCATGGGCCCACCTTTGCACTTGCTGAGGGTGAAGGTAGGGAGGGACCAGTGAGGGGGGTTGTGGACCCCAGATGACCCTACTGATGATGGGCCCACCCTCACACTTGCTGGAGGTGGGGATGGAAAGATACCAGTAGGGGATGGACCTGGGTGACCTTGCTGATGATGGGCTCGCCCTCATGCTTGCTGGGAATGGAGGAGCACCACTGGGGGGAGATGTGGACCCCAGGTGACCCTACTAATGATGGGCCCACCCTTTCACTTGTGAGGGTGGGAGGCACCAGTGGATGGGGGGGCGTGGACCCTAGATGACTCTGCTGATGCTGGACCTGACCTCAAGCTTGCTGGGGGTGGGGGCAGGGGGATACCAATAGGGAGGGGATGTGGGCTTCTGAGGACCCTGCTGACGATGGCCCCACCCTCCTGCTTGCAGGGAGTGGCAGTGGGGAGACATCAGCAGTGGGGGGGACCTGTGTGACCAAGTTGATGATGGGCCCACCCTTATGCTTGCTGGGGGGACACCAGTGTAGGGGGGTGGTGTGTGTCCCAGAACCCTCTGAGCCTCAGCTCTGAGAGTTTGGCATTCTGCCAGAGGAAAGTCTGGCTTCACGGTCAAGGGCATGAGGCTTGTCATGGATGAACCTGGACTGAACTGAGTGATTTCACATAAAGCTCCCAGCAATGTTTGGCTTAGGGCAGACACCCCACAAGTGCTGAGCTCCAGCTGGTACTTTGGTTCCATCATGTTTTGTCATTCCCAGCAAGGAGAAGGCAGCCTTGCTGCCCACAGAGACTGTGGGCCCCATTGTGTTTCCCAATGTGACAGCCCCCCTGGTGATGAGGTATTATCTTCTCCTATGGATAGGGAAGCCTCACTTTCCTAGAAAATTGGAGGAAGGATTCTGGGGTGGGCAGGGCAGAGGGAGGCCAGCCTGGAAGAAATACTCATGTTTTTGCCATGGTTGACCAGTTGCTTTGTTCCATTGGCAGCAGCCATAAACAGAGGCATATCAGTAGTTGAGAATCTATCCTCATCCTGAGCAGAGCTAAGACGAAATAGCAAACTTCAGTACTTCTGCCACATGACAACCTTTCACAAATCCATGAGTACTTTTCAGGTCAAAACTAATTTTTGGACATGGAGATTATTGATATGCTCAGGGAGTGTCTAGCAATGACTAATTTAATAAACTCTGAATTTTTAAAAGTGGTTTGTTTTGGCTTTATTTGCAAACATTCCAGGAGCTTGAATAAATCTCACATGTTTTGGTCATTAAGACCCCCCATTTTCCTTTGAAGAAGCACATGCACTGACAGGAGGAGTTGGGGTGAATGGAGTTTATTTCACCTGGTCAGCAATGACCAGTTTGCCTTTACAGTCAGGTCCAGCAAACGGGAAAGGCTCATCCTCTGGCAGCTCCCTCCCCAGAGAAGAAGGAGCCACATCCAGTAAGGTGAATTTCTTCCATTGTTTTGTTTTGTTTTTAGAGACAGTGTCTCACTCTGTCATCCAGACTGGAGTGTAGTGGCACCATCATATCTCATTGCAGCTTCAAACTCCTGAGTTCAAGCGATCCTCTTGCCTCAGCCTCAAGAGTAGCTGTAACTACAAGTGCCACCACGCCTGGCTCGTTTTTGAATTTTTGGTAAAGACAAGGTCTTACTATGTTGCCCAGTTTTGTCTCGAATTTCTGGGCTTAATGATCCTTCTGCCTCAGCCTCGCAAATCACTGGGGTTACAAGCGGGAGCCACTGTGCCTGGCCCAAGAAGGTGACTTTCATATCACCAGCCTCGGAGCTAAAACACTCCCTTCATTCTTAGAGAAATCGTGTTTTTACTTAGGACTTGGGCAGATAGGTGGAGAGGAGAGAGGCAGGGCAGATGTAGGGGCAACCTGCCCGCCACAGCCTCAGGTCGCCTCATCGGCCTCTCCAGTTCCCAGCTGGCAAATCGTTCCTCTCTCCTCCTATGCCACCAGTCTCAGAAGTCCTCCAGGGCATGGGAGCAGGACAAGCCTCCATAGCCAGACATGACCCTCATCACCTGAGCCTTTCCCGGAAGCTCCTCATACTGGGCCCAAGGGCCCCTGAAGCCTGTTTTTATGTATGACCAACCAGATTTGGGTTCTCAGGATACCAGTAAAACTAATAAATATTCGTTAGAAATGCAGCGGCTATTTTAGGAGGGTGAAGCATCATGAGTCAAAGAAGCGTAGACTTCCAATAAACGTAGCTAAGCTGGTTGATGCCACCCAGGACAGGATGTACAAGTACTTAGAGGTCAGGCTGTGCAAGGGACACACAGGGGAGTTGGCATTAAAGTTTCTTCCCTGTGAACAGGCACCCTGACTACACCTAGGACTAATTGTGGGAGAGGCTTGGGTTCTGGTTGTGCATGGCTGGCTGCTCAGGTACACAGATCTCTGGGGCTGTGTTGAATAACCGAGCTGTATACAGGTGGTGCTGCTTCACAGCCAACATCTATGGATAACCCAGCTGTATACAGGTGGTGCTGCTTCAGGATCAACAGTGGTATATAACCCAGCTGGATATAGATGGCGCTGTCTCAGGGTCAACAACTATATTTATAACGCAGCAATATAAAGGTGGTGCTACTCAGGGTCAACAGCTATATATAACTCAGGTGTATACAGGTGGTGCTACTTGGTCAGTAGCCAGTGTAGTGTGTTAGGTTTCCATCTAGAGACCTGAGCTGACCTGCTGTGCCAGGGAGGAATCCCAGCTGAAGGTCAGAGCCTAGAACCAGCACTTGAAAAAATCTTCCAAAGCATAGAGTTGGGGGGCATTTAATGAGGTCCTAATCCCCCTACTTCCATGAAGAGCATCAGGGTGTTTAGCGAGTCTTTCGAAAGGGGCTTTCAGGCATGGTGGACCCGCAACTGGGGTGTGGCCTGTCCGTCCTGGGAAGCATTAACTACAGCACATGGATGATAACCTCTGCTTGTCCACAATGCTCATTCCTCTACTCCCGCCCCCCACCCCATTTTCTAATTACACTACGAAAATAAATTTTACTGCTTATTTTCTGGTGGGAGGACAGATTTGGAAGTTGTTTTACTGCCAAGGTTTTGTTCTTGTTTTTCTGGTGAGGTCTTCCTAATTGAAACGCACAATTAAGGTTGAAAAAAACAATAATTCCTTCCCTTCTTGCAGAAGCAGAAAACAGAAAGAGTCTTATCAAACCATTAAACATCCTAGCAGTGGACAGGGCGATCTGGTCTTAGGAGCTGGCCCTAGCAGGCTGTTTGGTGATGGTGCCACAACTTATCCCCATTGCCGGGCTGATGAGCATCCACCTTGTTTCATGCGTTATTGTATCGGTCTCCTGGCATTCTAAACAGATGCTCATCTCTTCAAAGTGGGAGCTAGGAGACCCTGGGTTGGAACAGGGCTGGGGTTGTGACTGATGCTGGGGATGCAGGCAGGGTCGGGTCAGTACCTGGGTCCTCGATGGACAGGTTCCTCATGAGCCACTGCACGATGTCAGCCCCTGCAATGATAAGGCGGTTTAGCAGAGCCACGTTCCCCAAACAATCCTGGCTCCATTTGGCACGCAGTTGAGCAGGGTGCTGTCTCAATCCCTGACCCTACTTCCCCAGGAGTGCACCTCCATCGAGTCCGCTCTCCTCCAAATTGTCCAACTCTGATGCTGACTGAGGGTCATGTGTACACAGTTCTAGGAAGTGCTGGGAGGACGTCCCTGAGATGCCACGCTGGAGTCTGGACACATCCCGAGGGGCCCAGCTCTGTGCCTTCTGACGAGGACTCAGAAACACAGGCAAGCCCATACCTTCTCACAAAATCCTCATTCCTGTAGCCTGGGCCCATCCTAAATGAATGTGCCCCTGCATTTTTGGCAGGAATGCCTCTGTACTCCATAGCCCCTGCCCTTCCCCAGGCCACAGCTGGGTTCGTTCCCAGACGCCCCTGCACTTGGGTGTGGACTGAGCTTTGCCTGAGAACTGTGGTAGAAATGATGCATGCCACTTCCAGACTCAGGGTCTGATGTGTGGACATTGCTGACTGGACGCGGAGACCCCGAGGACCTGTGGGTGGAGAGCCACAGCAGGGAAGGAGTGGGTTCCTGTTACGAACACTAACAGCATCTGGGATTTTGATTTGGTTAAGAATAAACTCTGTTGTGTAAAACCCCTGGAATTTGAGACTTATCTGTTTTGGCATCTAGTATTACTCTAATATTAAATATTTATTTATTTATTTTCAGAGACAAGGTCTCCCTCTGTCATCCAGGCTGGAGTGCAATGGTGTAATCATAGCTCACTGCTGCCTTGAACTCCTGGTCTTGAGCAATCCTTCCACCTCAGTCACCTGAGTAGCTGGGATTATGGGTGCCACCATGCCCATCTAATTTTGGTATTTTTTTGTAGAGACGAGGTCTTGCTATGTTGCCCAAACTGGTCTCAAACTCCTAGGCTCAAGTAGTCCTCCTGTCTTGGCCTCCCAAAGCATTGGGATTACAGGCGTGAACCACTGCACATGGACTAATATAACATGTTAAGAGTCAAAAGGGACTTTTAAAGTGGCTCTGCTCCAAGCCTCACCAATATTCAAGTCCTGCCCACAACACCCTGGAGAGAGGCACCATGACCTGGGAGCTCACGGATGCCTCCCACACAGCCTGTCTCGGTCAAATCATCCTGGCTTTCTCTGAACAAAAACTTGCCCCTCTTTGACTTCATCCCTCAGGCCTCGGTTTTATTCTTTTTTTTTTTTTTTTT